AATTGAAAAATAGCTGTCTAAGGTTATTTTTGTGCACTGCAGTCTGTTTTCCTTTTTTTATTTTTTCTAAATACAATCTACCAATGAATTCTGGTATATTGAATCAAGTCTGTATGCCAGAATTATTGTGCCTTTAATAGCTTTAAATGCAAGTAGAGGGGAGAAATATCAGGATGACTGTTTGTAGTGCGTTGGCATAATGGGTAGTGAAGATACCAAAATTACAGCTATCAGTCTTCCTTTTTCTTTCTTTTTATTTTTCCTCATGGGATTTAGGAATCACAGAATCATTAAGGTTGGAAAATACCTCCAAGACTGTCAAGTCCAACCTAAATAAATAAACTGGTTTTATTTATTCATTCAGCAACTGGGGAAACTGATAATTAATGGATACATTTGTTCAAGTTTCTTATGACTTGACCAGAATCAATCTTTGCCCCCAGACTAAGTGACCCTCTTTCCTGAGATAACTTTACTCATCTGTGTTTGTGTGGTGTGGTGTGAGATACTTGGTGTCTGGATGAACAGGAGTCCTGTCCAGAGGAGTGATAAACAGTAGCAGAACTCCTCCTTCCTTCTCTCTCTATTATTTGTTGGAAACTCTTCTGTGGCCAAGCTGGGGAGGACTGCTCTTGACCTCAGTTAGGCAAATTCTTCACCTGCAGCATCCAAGTGAACCTCCACAGTTCCAGAAACAGTATACCTTTATTCAGCTGTCATGACAGGTTTAGCAGGGCTAGAGGGCTGGAATAGTTCATTTTAATTGTCTCCTTAATTTAAGGCTTTTACAATGACATCTTTCTGGAAGGGAAATGCTGTGACCTTAGGCAGTAAGGCCATGGATGGGCAATCTGATGCAACTGCAGAAAGGCAATGAGTTGCACCTTTTATTTCCAAGGAGGAAATTGGTGTGTCAGGTTTTTATGGTAACTCTCTTCATGGTTAAGTTAGTGGCCGAAGTGGCAGGTGTTCATGAAGGTGTCAAGTTGTAGTTCACTTCCAACACTTGTCATAGCACTGCTAGGCAAATGCCATCATTCTGCTCAGAAATGGTGCTGAAGCTGAGGACACTTGTGCTGCTGCTTGAAACGATGTTCAGCTGTAACCACAGCATAGTCATGACACAGCCCAGGTCCTGGAGGCAGTATTGGAAAAGTGATTGCTTTCCTTTGACTGAATTCTTTATTAAGCCATGTCTTCTCTTTTGGGCGTAGTAAAATAGTATTTTTTTAATTGCTTTTGGTAAGAGTACAAGGTTGGTTTTGTCAGATGAGTCTGTTATGGCTGCATTGCAATGACTGTGTATGACCACTTCAAATATACTATTCTCGTCATTCCAAACATAGTGGAACACAAATGCTGTACTGTGCAATGGAAATTCCTCTGCTGCTCACATGGGGTAGGTCTGAATTTGAAATTAGCATGTCAGTCAGTTCATTGCTTTGCTGTGATACAAACTTCTCCTGTTAGTCCCACTCCTCATTTTGCATATGTCAAACTAAAGCCACTCCTGAAGTGGCAGCTTCAGGATTAAAGAAGTGAGCAGTTTGGGGCTCAATTACGGCAATTACTGTTCAGTCATATTGTATGTTTAAACCCAAGGGTTGACATGTCAACATTTTGCTCTAGCTTAAAGCAGGACTATTTTTGTTCAGAGAAGTGAGTGTTTAGATACTGGTCATTACAACAGAAAGCTTAGTAAGTTCACTGAGTATAGCATATTAAGAGATGCTTTTCTTCAGGTTGATGTTTCTTAACAGGTAGCGAAGTCTGGAGCCAGGAAGGAAGGGAGAAGAGGAAGAAAAGCATATATATGGACTTGATATGAAGTTATTGCACTGTCATGCCTCAAAAGAGCTATGCTGTGGCTTTATTTCTTTCTAGCAGTGCTATGAGGAAGCATCAATGCATGCCCCTTCTGGTAGGAGTAAAGATTTGGATGTGAGAAAACAGCAAAGATGTTGCTCTGTAAAATCTATTCGAAGCCTGACACTCTGCAAACTCAGCAGCCACAGAAAACTTGAGCATGTAAAATACTTCTTCCTTATTTATATTGATGCTACAAGTGATACTGCTGCGGCTGACTGTAAATCCGTCTAGGAGCAAGAAGCGCTGTAAACAATGCAGCATTTTAAATGTGCATCATGGCTGTGCTCCACAACGATAGTGCACCAGCCTGTTTGTGATATGGATAATAGGAAGTGAGTGGCCACAGATGAGAGGTAGATGGAGATCTTAACTTTGAGCAAATGCCTGCTAGTTTGGCTCAGTAATGTTCTGTACTTCACAGTGCTCCATGAGAAGAAATGGGACTTCAGCATTTTGTAAATGAACATGTTTACAAAGGAGGAAGAAAATCTCTTTTTGGCCAGATGTCTTCAATTAATCACTTAAATTTAAGCTTATGATATCTGTCTTTCAGTGTTTCTTTAAATGTGATTTGACAATGGATTTTCATTTGTGGGTTTTTCGATGTACACTATGTGCATGCGCAGCTTCTGTGAGTTTATCCAATACTGCATGTATGTGCTACTCATCCTCTCTCACATATTAATTAGACATGTTAACAAATTCAGTTTGTGTCCTTAGAAATCAGATTATTCACAGAAGATGTTTAATAAGTACACGTTAAAACATCCGTTAGGGTAATAGAGATGTAATCCAGATACACTGGGGAAGGGGAGGGCTACCTCCCCACCCTCTTTGACCTAGGACAGTTATACACAAGAATATATCCAGAAAACCTTGAAGCTGAACACTCCATTGGAGTTAGTTACTGTATTTCTTAGCTTCCTTTACCACTCACTGCCCCAGTCCTCTTTCCTCTATTATCTTGGTTTCTGTAATGTTATCTCAAGACTTTATTTAGTGTTTTCTGGTAGATTGTAGTTTTCACTTGTTTAGTGGACAAAAGCCCTCTCCTTCTGAGACTAGAGTGGCACAGGTAAAGGCTGTAGCCTTGGTGTGATTATTAAATGAGTTAATTCTTTTTCCTTAGTTGACTTGTAAATTGGAAAGGTTACATTTTGATGTTTCTGCAGCAGCTTAGTTATTTTGACTTAATCTTCCTGTCTTCACTACTATTTTTGTACTTACCTAAATAGTGGGGGGAGGGGGGGGGGGAAAGAAGCCTTTTAAAGGCCTCAAAGTTCACTACGTGGAACACTTTTGTTTGTATTTGCAGTTAACTTTGAGGAAGATGTGGGACAGCTGTTCCACCACAGAAACACCCCAAATTTCAAGACAGTGTATCTGTGGCTTAAATCTACAGTAATCCTCAAGATAAATGCAGGATTATGTGTTTCTAGGTTCAAGTTTTTAAAGCCATGTCTTTCAAAATAGAGGAATATGAAAGTATAGTGTTTAAAATGTACCTTTTTTTTTTTCTGGCTAGCAGCCCTTATTAACATCAGCTAGCTTACCCTAGCCTCCTTTTTATTTTACAATTCTCCCTCTAGAGATAGATTAGTCATTGTTTCTGCACAGTAGCATTTTTTTCCCTGCAGCAGTAATTTGATTGCAAGATTTCATTTAGTCTCCATCTAACTCTGTTCCAAACTTCTGCCTCCAGCATGGCACAGGGTGTTCAAAATCTGTGATAACTCTGGCAATGATTTTTTCCACTTTCTTTCTTGTGCCATCATTGCACCAAAAGATGAATAGAGAGTACAGCACTCCCTTGCCTGCTGAAAGCCTGTGTAAACGTCAGTGTGTTTACAGCCTGTCTTTGGGGCTCAACAGCCCTCAGTGAAATACGATACGCAGGCGTCACTTATGTTTTCACACTGAGTTTTAGTCAGTGACACAAGTTTGATTTAGGCAATATTAAAGGTGTGTGCCATGTTGATTGCAGTAGCTGGTAGGGATTTTTAAGTCTTTTATTGCTAAAATGTTTTAACCTTGTTTCTAACTGTATTTTCTGGTTGGAGGAGAACAAAATTCTTTGAGATAAGAATGTGCTGGGCCAGTGTAGAGGCTATGGATGCAGTGGCACATGCTGTTGGAGATTACATTCATGTGGAATAGCAGCACTCATAGGTGCAGTTTTGCTTCTATTGCCAAGTTACATAAAAGCTTGCTCACGCAAATAAAGGACTTGAGCCTTAATGAAGGGAAAATTAAGTCCAAATAAAATGTCCTGGTATAAACCATGCCAGAAAAGAAACTTCCTCCCGTCTATTGGAATCTGACACAGATCTTTTCATTCATCCTTTTACTTGCCTTTAGGCATACCTCCCAGTGGTTGTCAGGCAACCATGATAATGTTGCTGAACATGCAGGCTGGCTAATTGGATTGTCCCCTTCTTGAGTTTTTTGTCCGAATGGTTTTGGTCATTTTTAATAAGGCGAGCACATGCAAGTTTCTTTGTTGGCTCATGTGATAAACCAAGGGGCTTTTAAGAGTTCCATGACACATTAAGGGCAAAATTTTGACATCTGTGCAAGCTTTGACATTGTACTTAATCATGAGCATAAGAATTTGCCTCTGTCACTACAGAAGCCTTGCTAAATTCTGCCTTAATTCAGCACATTTCCCAGTTTTATTCAAACCAGTCTATTCTAATGAGAATTTTTGCTTGAAAGGCAAACAAGAATGGACCTGAGCAGCACCACAAAAATTTAGTGTTCAGATAGGCTGAGAATTTCCTGCACCTTGTAACCTGTGTCACAAGGGTAGTTTTACTAGCAGAAATGTGTTCAGAAAAATAGCAATGCTTTAGTACAGGGTGAGATACCTCAGAAGTGACATATATCATAAGGATAACATGGGTTTTGTTCCTTGTTATACTGGTTGAAAAATATATTTAATGTGCAATTGAGGAGAGCCTGTTTTTCTGTGCCAGCTTAATGTGAACAAACCCTTACAAGTGGTGTTGAACTTATGTCTGGTAGTTTCACTGGTTGTTCTGAGCATATCAACCTCCTTGCATTAATCATTGCAAGGCAATTAAGAGTGGATTACTTATTTGCCTCCTTTATTTTTTCTTATCTCATTGTAGATTCACCAAGTTGAAGAGCCTTAACCTTTCCAATAATAATTTAGGAGACTTCCCACTGGCGGTCTGCAGTATCCCAACCCTGACCGAGCTCAATGTGTCCTGCAACGCCCTCAGAAGCATTCCAGCAGTTGTAGGCGAGATGCACAAGCAAGTACTTTCTTAAAACTTGACATAGAAAGCCTGATAATTAAGGCAGCAAACAGTTCCATAACTTCACGTGCTCTTGTTGTGGGAAACAGTTTAAACTTATTTTTGACAGAGCAAACTGGCTTGTAGCTCCATATGGAAGCAGTTGTGGAGTGGGGGGAAAAGCATATTTTGCGCCTTGAAGCTCTTCCAGTCCCCAGTATTTGACACAAGGGTCACCTTCATGGTGAAGAAAATCTTTAAACCTCCTTGCTTATGTGCTTCAGCTGTCATGCAAGTTGCAGTTGTGAAGATGTTTGAAGATAGAACCGTCTAACATAGCCTACATTTCATAGTTGCCAAAGCTTGTAATAATTTGGTGGATATCTTCTGTAGCAGATGTTAAAATGTTATTCTTGAATATTTTTCTTTCTGCTGCCCTTTTGTGTATTTTATGTCACTGTAACAGCAGCAATGTGTTTATAGTAAGGAAATGTGATTTAACAGGTCACTCACTTTCTCTTCACTCTCCCTTCCCTTCCCCCACTTCTAATAGCTTGCAGACATTTTTGCTGGATGGCAACTTTCTCCAATCCCTTCCTGATGAATTGGAGCATATGCATCAGCTCAGCTATGTGAGTCTGTCCTTCAATGAGTTCACTGACATTCCAGGGGTGCTGGAGAAGCTAACTGCCATGGATAAGCTCTGCATGTCAGGAAACTGCATGGATACCCTGAACCTACAGGTGTTAAAAAGGATGCCTCATATTAAACATGTGGATCTAAGGTAGGTATTTGGAATAGAGGAAGAACAAGTGAGCCTCAAGTATTGTTGTTGAAGTGGCTGCTTCTTGGCTGCTAGAATAGCCATTGAGTGTAAATCTCTTGTGTTAGTCCACTGAACTGTGTTTCTGGTGGTGGTATGTATCTCACAACACTTGCTGTGACTTAGCACTCTCCTTTGAGGAAGTGGGAGCATTTAGGGGGATCAGTAGGTAGGAAACTGAGTTTTGGGGACAAGTAGTGTTTTGCACTAAAAGATTAAATAAAACAGAGCCAAGGACACTGGTGATTCCTGCAATGCTAGTTGCTGCAGTGTTAATATAATTTAGTTGATAGTCCCTGATCCAAAAAGCTTCTATCTCAAATGTTACAGATGTGTGAGATGAAGAAAAGGGCAGTGAAGGCCAAAGGACAGAAATAGATAGCTTAATATTTCTTGGTATGTTAAAAAGCCTCATCTACCATGAGTAATGCTTTTTAGACTCAGAAGACTCAGAAGAGTCCAAACAGGTCCTTATTACAAATGGCTCTGGTATGAGGTAGTTCATTATTCTTATGGTCTTTGGAAAAGCCAGCTTGTGCAATCAGCGGGGCAAGGCTTCATTCAGAGCCTGGACCATGAGGTCCAAATAACAGTGAATTTTGGAACCACTTAGTCAAGCTAAAGTATGATAAAACTTACTTTACCGTACCGCCATGGAGCTGTCAGACTTTGCAGTCAAGCAAGGGCCAGCATTAAGTTAAGAAAACAGCTAGAATAGGTGAGTTCTGGAGTATTTCTTATAGGGTTAAAATATGTTTCTGCATTTGTGTGTATGTTAAAAACAAATAAACAAATTGGCCTCACAGTAGGGATGCTGTGGCTGATGTGGCCATGAATTCTAGTGGTGCAGTTCCAGCCCTGTCATTGTCTGCTGCCTCCTTTCTGCACCGAGCAGTGATCAGTGGTTCTTTGTGATGCTACTTGAAGTAGTAAATATAATACTTGCTGTCCCATAAAGTGCTTTGCTTCAGTGAAATCAGAAGGAAGCACTGCTTGTAAATTGAAAACAGAGAAGGTAGGGTGGTACTGGTGAGGACATAATCTGGTTTTTTTTTTTTTAAACTGGAAGATGTAGCTACTCTGGACATGTAAGTGTTACACAGTGGCGAAGTCTTTGACAGCAGAAGCAACAGCAGAACTGTAGGTATTTGTCCTTACCCTGACTAGGGAGCGTTCAGCTGGCTTAGTGGGCCAAGAGAAGTAACTATGCTGATTTTAGTGTTCTGCTCAGAGCTGAGAATTTGAAACTGTACTCTTTGGGAGTGCTCTGCAGTCTCACACATTGCTGGCTTACAGATAATCTAATTCAGTTATAACTTCTGGGGAATTTGCTGAGTATTGGCAGTGTCGGTGCACTGCGGTGAAGATGTGATTAAAACCTGTCCTCATTATCTGACAGACCCATTCCTCTTGCTTTGTTTTCTTTCAACACCCATTTTCAGGTCCCTGAATTTGCTCGCTGTGTAACATGGAGAGGCAAGAAGTGAATATATGGGAATTCATAAATCTCAATTTGGCCTTTCAATAAGGAAAGAGTCTCCAATATCTGCGGGTTACTCGTATCTGCCAGGCTCTTCCAGCAGATCCTCATGATATGCTGGCAGGAACTGTAGAGGTTTTGTTCTTTTCCAAAGAACAATTTGTTTCTTTTCTGGCACAAATAACAGCCAGATCATCTTTTATTTTTATAGACACAGTAACAGTAATACCTACCTACTTGCAGAGCTTTTCATTAGTAGTTTTCAAAGTAGTTTAGAAAGGAGCTTGGTGTCATCATTCCTTTGTCATCCTGCTTCTTAAATACCATAACAAAGGAGAAAATATTAAAAATCAACCTTGGTCAGAGAAGGTATGGTAGTTTAATCCAGAGCAACTGACTGATTGTAAAATGAGCATTGGTTTGTTAACAGGAGCCTGTCACATAACTGCACTTAATCTCCTTTTTCTGTCTGCAAGATTGAATTCAATTAGGAGATTGGAGGCCGATGAAGTAGATTTTCTGCATCACGTGACCCAACTGGATCTGAGAGACAACAAACTTGTGGAGATGGATGCAACAGTTTTTAACAACGTTGAAGTGTTACACTGTGAACGGAATCAACTGGTAACCCTCAAAATCAGTGGATATTTTCTCAAAGCGCTGTATGCTTCCTCAAATGGTAAGTGTTTTCAGGGCAGCTGTGGTGTTGCCATCTGATTTCTGGTTTTGTACCTGGTTCTCTGAGGGATGCCTGTGGATTGCAGTACACATAATCAGGAGGCTCTTGACATGACCCTAGATAAAAGGGTTTCACATGTGCTGTGTCATGCTACTGGCAGGTCTGAACATCAGAAATGACTTTCATTATCACTGGGCTACTGATTTGGAAGTCTAAAACCTGCAAAAACCTTAGTATTTGGTGTGAAATTGTTCTACATGTCAGCAGGGGAGGGTTCTTGAGTATGTCAGTTCTTTAAGTTATGTTAATGTGTTGCTTTACTGAGGCACATAAGGAATTTACTGCTTTTCCTTGCATTGAGAAAGTTTGAATACATGGCCGTTTTTGAGACACACCAGAATAATATATGTTTTTGCTACTACCTCTTGCTGCTTACTCTGTCCAGAAAGCTACGAAATCTATAATGAATAACTTCATTTGTATTTGATAATAAAAATAAGGTAGTCTTCTCCACGTGAACAATTCCTTTGTTTCATGATTAAGATCTGTTTGATCTGTCTCTGGAAACTGCTGTTACTTAAAATACTCAGTTTGCACCATGATTTTTATCATTTGGAATAGTTGGGTGTGGAATAAAGAAAATGCAAGCTCAGAGAGCTGTGGATTTGATGAACAGTCTGAACTGCCTTTAAAAGGCTGTCGTCTTAGCGATATCCAAGCCTGTGCCTTCATTAAGTATTCATGCCCGGATCTTTGTAGCTGAGAAAAGTTAACATAATCTGAGCATGTGCTGCTCAATGTGGGCTGAGAATGCAAGTCAACCCATACCTTGCAATTAACTGCCTATTTGGTCTTGCTGCTCCTCCTGACTACTGTTTGCACCCTCAGCCACCTTGTTTGAGTCTCATCTTCCAGAGAAACCGTGATGCTGGTTATAGATTCACTTTAGTGGATTTTCTTTAGGGTTACATAAACGTCTGCTTGGGTTTTTACTGTTGTAACCTTAATACTACCTAAAAACCTTAGGATATGAACTATATTTTGATTGCTTCAGTAATAACATTACTAGCAATAGTTGAGGTGCTATGAAAGGTCTGTAAGTCTGCCTGCAGCTGGGAACTCCACAGGCATGCAAAGGCTCATGTAATATGTTGAAAAATACTCTGGATCTTGCCATTACCTGGGGATCTCTGTTATATTCTGCAACTTGCTGTTCCAGAGTGGGGAGTTTCCCTTCTCATGCTTGTACTGCTAGTGACCAGTGAAAAAAAGCAGAGCAGGTGTGGGACTGACTCCTCTGAGCACAGGGCAGCGCAGGCGAGGTTATAGCTCTGTGACAAAAATGGAACAATGAGAATTTGCCATGAAACTTTTAAAATGCTCCAGTTTCTCCTCTCTGATCAGTTATGCAGTATCTGTCACAGCAAGTACAATGTAATATAGCAAATGTGCTCAGACATAATAAAGAAACAGAACTGAGTTCACAAAGGTTCAGATCTTCAGAAGTTTTTTAGGTTATGGACTTTCTCTGGAAATCTGAGTGTGAGCTCTTAAAGTAACTCTTACGAAACAGTCATTTAGGTGCAAATCTTTATCACAACTTTGGTTATGTATTTTTTCCCCCAGAACTTGTTCATCTTGATGTGTATCCAGTTCCTAACTGCCTGGCTTATATGGATATTTCTAGGTAAGATGATGTTTTTTCTTGGACCTGTGAAATATACGTTAGAGGCTTATGGAATAATGACATTCACTGGTATCTTACTGGGTGGGAGTGGGGGCAGGAATTGGACCTTGGGATATGAAAAGACTCGTTTTCAGAGTTAGAGGATGGGCTTTTTTTTTTTTTTCTACTGTTCAGTTCTTACTTGTTTCATTTTTATAGAATTACTTGTTGGGCATTTTTTTAAAATGCCAAAAGTGAAATGTGCCTTTATAGTTGAAGGGAAA